CGTACCGCCCCTCACACCGCCTCCCGTACCGCCTTCTCTGCCCCTCACACCGCTCGTACCGCCCCGGGAGCTCTGAGGGATGAGGGGTTGAGGGCCAGCGACCCCGAGTCTGCCCCAGTGCGAGAGCATCAGTCGCCTTTGTCTTAAACCAAGGACAAAGGGCGGGCTGCAGAATGTCCCGGTTCGGTTTTGGGGTAATGCGAGTCCGAAAGGTGTTAGCCATTCTAGAAGCGAGGGTTTTCTGCTTCTTGGGGAGCAGAGGTCATCGTTGTGTGAACCTGAGATACTGCAAGAAGACGCAGAAATTAATACACACTCTTTCGGTCCCAGAGTAGATAGAAACATGTAGATCCCAATATGCATAGGATGCTCGTGTTCTTTACCCATGCACACTAAAATTTGCATTGTTGTTCCTTAAAACCATTTGCACACTAGTGCTGGAAAACGTATCCAAAGGTTAGGTTCCTGCCTTAAATTCCATCTAAAGTTATGTTTCCCTGCAGTCGCTACACCTATTTTTTTATTTCATCCAGAGCTTCTAAGTCAGTGCTCAGCAAGGATCCTGTGAAGTCCGTATCTCATGCAAACAGTTTAATGGGTGCTGGCTTCTGGAGCCATCACCAGAAACATGGAGCAAGCACACTGCTACATTAAAGCCGCCTTTCGAGCTTCCATTACCCTAAAAGGTCTTCTGCTTTGTATCGTAAATATTTGTAACTTGTGGTCATAACTACGAGCCAGCTGTCCTCCAGCCTTAGAACAGCAACATCTTAAATGTAACTAAGGTGCTATAAACTTAAATAATTCATAATTTTTCATCTTGACTATATAATAAATGTGTGTTTAACAGCCTGGAATGGTTTTAAACACAATAATGTTCAATGCAATCTCTCTCTGCATGGAGTTTACCTGACCTCTTTAGCTTTCAGAGGCCTGGAGAGAGACTTATGCACATACTTGTCTTTATGCATGGAGTTATACATGCATCTCTGGTGCCAAATCTTCAGCTGATATAAACTGTTACAGCTCTGCTGATTTAAATAGGGTCTGTGATTTACACAAGTTGAGGATCTGACTCACAGTCCTCAACAGGACTGTTCACGTATTTCAAGGTGATCAAGTGTGCAAGTGTTTGCAGGCTCAGAGCTGATTCACCTGGAGTTTTGTCCTCATAAGAGCTGAGCAAAGGGTAGTTTAGTGTAATACTAGAGAGTTAGATCATCAGTTTTTCTGATCAAACAATGTCATTTATAATAGAAAGGTTCTGATTCTTTATATTTCAGATCAGATTCCACTCTTATGCCAAAACAACTTTTAAATAACTATAGGAACTCAGTGCACTACATAACTAAGGACAAAAGATTGCAACTATAAATACCTTAAAAGTCATATTTAAAGACTTGGTCTGATTAAATTTTGTAATACTTCGAGTGCAACTTTGTGTAGAATATAAAAATACTGCCTGTGTCATCTGACTCCTTTGATGCACTGCATTAAAATTCCTATGTCTAAGTGCATATCATGCAGTCAACTTTACTTCTCTTCTATTAATAGTTTGAAATTAGGTCACTGTTCTTGTAAGGATAGGCTAAGCCTGTAAAACTGATTTAAAAGAAATTACCGATATATAAATGTTTGGGTTCCTTTCTCATGCTCGCCTACAGTGACACCATTCCTTATCTATAATCAGTGATTTTTCTGTCTGTTCTGGCACATGTGTCCTATGCTGGCAGGTTTTTGTAGATTTGTTTATAGTGACCCCTGCTGCAAAAGATTAAGACTGACGTTTCTCTAAGCCTTTCAAAAGACATTTACCCAATTATTTCTGAGTTTAGCACAAAAGAACCAACCAAGTATACAAAATTTGAAACTCCCTAATCTGCATAATTTTCAGTAAAATTAGTCAAATCATACAACAGCTTTTCCTCTCTCACATGTGTAGGATTTACTTTCTAATGCAATGCAATATAGTTCCAAAGTAAAATAGCTTCCCATTTCCTAGAGGTAAGGCTTGTCCTTTACGTTATTGTTCTTTCATAAGGGCTAGACTTGACATCAATAAATCAATGTCTCAACTGCTACATGTAAATGTTTTCAGAGCTCCACTCAGGAAAGCACGTGCTTATGTTTATCTCTGTTCAGGATAGCAAACTAGTAAAAAAGCAGATTAAAGCATAGGACTAAGTTTAAACACAGATTACCCTTCTTGTTTCAGAAGGATTTAAGTGTCAGTCTATTCCAGTATTGCCCTCAATAAAATGTTTTCTCAAGCTTGGCTTTAAAAGCTTCAGCAAAAGGTTGTGTATGGGTCCATCTACATGAAAAAGATTCATGTGTGCTCTGTGCTGGGCAAAAGCTGTGCAGCCATAGCTAGTGAAGCACTTAACCTCAAAACTAACATGCCCTGCTAACAGACCTGCAGCTTCAAGCTGCTTCAGCTTCCTAGCACGCTTCAAGCTGCACAAAATAAGCATCGACTTGCTTGCAAAAGACACGCAATTTTCTATATCTGATAGACAGGTAAAAGTTGTCTCATGTCCTATATTACTAGTGAGGATTGTAACCTGTGTTTTTTCCACAGTAGCCACAGTTCAACATAAAACCAGTCAGACTTGTCATTTTAATGTAGAGTGATGGATTGTGGGTCCTAACAGTGGTTAGGGAAGAAACTCAGCATAGCTGGATCTTATTCTCTTTTTCTGGGATTTGGAAAATTCACGCTGTCTGAAATATCAGGAAGGGAGATGAAACAGGGGGCAATCTGCTGGGTCTCACTCTCTCCTCCTTGAGAACTGGAGAAAATCCAGACTTTCACAGTGTTCCCAAAAATTTGTCATTGGGTGCAGATGCTGGATTACTTATGCTGTGAGAGTGCAGTCTGGTTCTTGGCCATGTTGCAGGAACATGCTGAAGGTCATATGGTCTGTGCTCAGGTTTCATACAGAATGTAATCCATACTTCTGTTTCCTACCTCAGTGCTTTGGCAGCTCGTGAGTTAGCTGCTTCTGCAGCCATTACTGCTGCTTTGGTGGTGGTGGTGTGAGCTGAACCATGAGATCCTCGTGTGTTTTTATCATCTTGGCAGGCTGACAAAAGTTTCCTTGGGAGTGTGATTGGGAGAAGAGAGTCAGTGATTTTTAACAGTCCATTTCTCAACAGAAAGTGACAACGTGTAATGACATAAAGGTATATGTACGTAGAGGAGGCCAGAGAGGCAGGAGAACTCTGCCAGTGCACTTAGCTTGTCAGACACCGGAAGGCCCCAGTCCAGAAGCAAGATAACTACATGAACCTAAGCTAATGAGCACTGCTGAGAGGCAGGGTATGTTATTTTGGGCATGGTGCCACATTAGCATGACTCTACATCTTCCAGACAGAAGCTTGCAAAGTCTGGGCAGCTCAGAGTGTGAGCAGAGCTTGCTTGTGTCTGTCTGCACCTGTCTGCATGGCCTTGCAGAAGAAAAAGCAGCAATTTCCCAATTAATTAGCAAAGACTTTTTGCAAACAATACAGATACCAGAGTATCTGCCCAAAACAAACAAACAAACAAAAAAATCCCACAAAAAAAAACAAAGAAAACCACACAAAAAAACACAAAAAAACCACAAAAAAAACCCAAAAAACCAAAAAAACAAACAAACAAACAAAACCAAAACCCAACCAAACAACAACAAAAAAACCCAACCAACAAACCAAAACAACCAACCAACCAACCAAACAAAAAAAAAACGGAAAAAAATCCCTTTGCTTCAACAGCTCCTCAATTTCTTTTTTCTACCAGGCCCAGAAGAAAAGATGATATTGTCAGAGTGTGTTTGAAGAGTTTCTGAACTGCTCCAGAAAGTCCTGGTATTTATCCTCACAGCTATGTTGTTTCCCTGTTGTGAAGGAGAAAGGCATAGACAAATTACATACCTTGTGTAAACATAGAGAACTGTACCAGCACCTTCAAAATGCATTGGTATTCTATAGATGAACAGTTAAATATACAGCTGCAGGAAGGAAGATAGTGTAGTTCTTCTTCCAACTGATCCAGCAGCCCTTTTGTAGAATTACTCCTTAAATTCTGTTACATGCTCATATGTCCAGTCTGTATACATAAGAGAATTAAAAAAGAGAAGCTAATGGGCGCAAAGGATGTTTGGACTGAAATGTAGGTTATTGTTCCTGGGTTACTGCATGCATTTATTTCAGAGAAGGTCTCTTCAGAATCAGAAGCAACGGTGGTTTAGGGATTGCCAGATGGAATTCTACTTCTGTAGAGATCAGTTCTGATTTGTGTAAACAAACATGCTCAGGATGACAGTATATTTCTTCAGGGCTGTGAGAGTTTTCTGGAAAAAGTCACATTTGGGAGAATCAGAAGCAAAATCCTTCACTCAGAGTTAGACCATTGAACTA